CCCCCCCCCCCCCCCGGGGGGGGGCCCCCCCCCCCCCCTTAATCCCTTTGGGGGGTAGACAGGCCCCCCAAAATTCCCCCAGAGAGCAGATTTTGGGTTTTCGCCCAAACCGCGTTCATTTGCCGGTTGTGCCCAAAGAAAAAGCTTTTTGTTGTTGCGTGTGGGGGGGGTCCGGAACCCCCCCCCAGCAGGAGCCTTCTCCCTGGGGGGGGTGTTTTGCTGCGGGCATTTTTGTACAAACAGCAGCTTTAAGTACCATGTTTTCCAGGGGGGAGAATTTTTGGTGGCCCCCAAAATCAGGGGTTTCACCGGGGGGGGCCCTGCCTCTTATTGCCAACGGGGTTGGAAGGCGGGGTGAACACAACCCCCTGGAGGGTACGTTAAAACCCAACCCAAGGGTGGAGGGGGGGCGCCGCCAAAAAGGCGGAAAAACGGGGTCCGTGCCTTTTGCTGTGGGGGGGGTGGGGACCCCCCCCCCAGCAGCAGCGTTTTGGCTTTTGTTGTTGGGGGGGTGTCCCCCCCCCCCCCCCCAGCAGCAGCACTCTGCTGCTGGGGGGGTCAGACCCCCCCCCTAGCAGCAGGGATGGCTTTAGATGTGCAGGGGGGGTACCGAGCAATGTGCGGCCGCTCCGATGGTTTGCCCGAAAAGGTACATGGCGGCGTTTGGCGACAAAACAGCGCTGTGACCGCGAAGTGGCGGTGGACATGCTCCCATGTTGCCGTTACCTTACCTTACCTCACCCGATGCTGCTTCCCCGCGCCGCCTCCTTCTCGGCCCCCTTGGGCGTATTTTCTACTCCCACTGGGGTCCCGGGCCCCCGCCCCCCGGGCCCCCTCTTGTTTTCTGTTTTTCAAAACGCCCGCCCGCCCGCCACCCCGAGGCGGCCCCCCACAGGAGACCCAGAGATCAAAAACGCTCACTGGTTGGGTAGTAGTCTAAGTTCTGAGCCTCGAGGCTGAGCGGGTCTAAGTGTGACTAGTCACGCTGGGGTGCTTACGCGGTCTAAGATCAGCGAGAGCCTCTTACATCGGCTAAGTCGGCCGTGGCACAGCCTGGGGCCAAGAGGCTCCCACCGTGATCAACGATACGGCGCTAGCCCCCAAATTTTCTTCGCCTGCGGCGGGCGCCTTCTAATCCGGATCGATCCTTCTCATGCTCAGCAATCGCCGCCTCAGCATCCTCCTCTTCCGATTCTCGTTGCTCTTCTTGAGCGCAATCTTCAAGCCAAACAGTTCTCACAAATAGCCTCAAGCTCAAACAAACGCATGTCAAGGAAGCCTGTGTATGCTGGTCCTCTTTGAACGATCCGCGCGTGAGGTAGATCTAGCATAGGGCCTTGTTGGCAGCAGCCAGCTTGTTGCGCTGCTTCGTTGCGATGAGCTGATTGGGATCGCAGAAGTGCATGCCAAGCACCGCCACGATCTTGAAGCAGAACACATCGCAACCGCATCGTCCGCACTGCCATCGGCATGCCGCGCCCGCCGCTTCGCCGCAGCCGCCTTAAGACACGCATAGCGGCAGCACATGGTACGGTGCGCGTACTTGAGCAGGAGTTGCGCGCCGCAAGTAGCGCACTGGCCCTGGGACAAGGCGATATGGCGTCGTGCGCGGCATACGTTGGTCGGGACGCGTCCAGGTATTTTTCGGGTAAACCTGGACTTTTGCAGGTATACCCGGGTTTTACCCGGATTTGGCCTTGTGCCGTCTAAGTTCATGGCCCCCGACCATACAGCGTCTAAGTCCGAGCCCGGCTCCGTGCGGGGGCTAAGTTGAGCGCTCGCTCGCTGCAGAGGCTAAGTGTAGAGCGACCCTCTAGCCCTACTACCCCAGGTGGCGTTTATTTTTGCTTGGGCGGCACTCATGCCGGGGTAGGTAGGGTAGGTCTGGGCCCTCCCGTCGGGTTTTTCCCTCTCTTCAAGCTGGAATTTTCCCAGCAAAAAAAGAAATTTTCCGCGGAAATCACGATGTCAACCCTCCCCAAATGGGTGATCTGATGCTTGTAGGGCTTGAGAGTGGCCTCCCATGTCACAAGAAGGACTGTGGATGCAGGAGAGTACCACCAACCATCACTCTAGTTGGTATAGTACCCCACCTTCACCCATCGAGTGATTTCTTTTTTAGTTTCCCATAAGTAGGGTAGGTAGGTAGGTAGGTAGGTAGGGGCACCGCAGGGGCCGGCCAGGGTTTTTGCAGAATTTCAGCATGAGTGCCGCCCAAGCAAAAATAAACGCCACCTGACTACCCAACCATTAAACGCTCGGCCTCGTCGTCGATGGTCGAACCCTGCCACGAGTTTTTTATTTTTGATTTTTGACTGCTCAAGGGAGCTCTCGCGTGAACTGGTAGAGTAATGAGTATCTGTTTTGTTGGGGAAAATAAATGGGCAACCTCAGCCTCTCAAAAGTCGTCGTCCCCACCATCCTCGTCTACGATGGCGGCGACGAAGCGGTCGATGGCGCGCTCGCCCTCCGAGATCTGGAGCAGCGCCAGCCGGCCCGCGCTGAGCAGCACCGCCGTCGCGATCAAGGCTACGATCCAGAAGGGCGAAGCCGGCAGCCGGTCCTGCAGCAGGCCCCTGCAGAAGCAGCCAGCCGGCACCGCGAGCGCCCACGCGGGAAGGAGGGGGAGCACGGCATCGCGCACCGTCCTGGCATTGGCAGGGAATGCACCAACGGCGGGGCTGACCGCAAACCACGCCAGCAGGAACGGGGCGGCGGTCGTCAGCACAGAGCCGTCGGCTGAGTTATGGTTGCCGCGGCCAATTGCGGCAAAGGTGAGCAGCGCCGCAGCGTCGGCCGCGCCGGTCCACAGCGCCGCACCGACGGCCGAACGCGGGGAGAACGGCTGCTGCTCCGACGATAGCGCACCGGCCAGTCGCTCTGCGACGGGTGGTTCTCCGGGCTCCTGCCCGGGCCGCTGCTCGGACGACTGCACCACCACGGCGCGGCTGGCGGCGGGAGCGGGCTTCCCCAGCGGAGGAGCGAAGGCGACGGCACTGGTGACATAAAGGGTGGCAAGGCTCAAACCGAGCCTGCTCATCGTGGCACAGTGCCGGTTGGGAGCGGAAAGACTTCAAGGCGAAGCACCTGGTGGTGCGATGGGCTCCCTCGCGTGTAGTGTCAGCGCGCTTGGCCCCTCGAAGGTGCAAAGGAAGAAATTGGTGTGCTGTGTATCTCGAGACCTCGAGAGAAGGCCGCCCGCAGGCGCCCAAGTCAAGAAGTGGCTTTTGTTGGGCAAAGGAAGAAACACCTCTCGTCGAGAAACGAATAGCCCCGGGGGGGGCATGATAGGGTGGCGGAATGCCAGAGCACTCCGCCTTTCGTGAGCTCATCGAGGTCGAGGAGCCATGTGCCCGGAGGCCGATACCTGAGAACTCAGGCGTATCCTCAACCTCGGAACAAATTGCCCCGCGCTGCCGCAAAACGCTCCAGTGGCTCGCGTGCGTTCTGTTCCTCGCTTGTTCTGCCGCGCCTGTCGCGCTAGCTTTGAGATCCTGCTCAGAGCTCGAGTCCTGCTCAGAGACCATCGGGATGCTAAGTTCGTACATGAATGGCGGCGGCAGCCCACCTCGCCCACCGCCAAAGCTGCCGCCGCCGCCGCCGCGTATGCCGCCACCTCCATCAAGTCCGCCATCGCTGCCACCGCTGCCACAACCGCCTCCACCGGCGCCGCGCTTGCGTGATGCCATGCGCTGGCCAAACTGGATTCCGCGCTTCCCCAACGAGAGCCAGCGGTGCTTGGAGCATGCGCCAACGAAACACGTACTGCGAGCCGTCTAAAAGCTCATACAAAAGCTCGCGCAGCGGAGCGCACCCAGCGGGTTGCTTCTCACGAATAGGTGGTCTCCTGGCGGACCGGGTCGTCGCAGAGCACAGGGTCGCAGGGCGTGGAGCACAAAGTCTGCCCCTCCCTCGTCGACCTGTCCCACTGCGAGGTCTGCTGCTCTGCTCACCCAACCTTCACTGGGCCTTGCAGCCGCTCGGAAAATGCCGCGATCGCCCGTGCCCGGCCTGTCTGGGTGTGGAGAGGGGAACAGAGGGACAGAGGGCTGCCCGCCCCTGCCCCACCACTTTGTGTGTTGCCAGTTGCCTGCCCCTTCCGACCTGGCCTTCACCTCATTAGGCCGAGACGCAGAGGGTCGACCCGTACCAGCCACAGCGGTGCGAGTCCTTGTCTTGCTTGACAGCCTCCAGCACGGATCTAGACGGAGTAGTAACACCCCCGCCGTCGTCAGCCCTCTCCTCGTCCTCCTTGTCCTCCCTTGGCCAAGAGAGCAGCGTGCCGGTCTCGCGGGCGAAAGTCCGTCTCTCTGACTGCTGTTTGTTCCAAGGAAAGGTGCGTGCCGACAGCGAGGGCGGTCAACGCGACGGAGCAGGTGTACGAGCGCGCCGGGTTGAGCGCCGACTGCTGCGGCTCGCTCAGTTTCGTCTGCCACGCCTACGAGCAGTGGAGAGAGCGCTGCGAACTGCTATGACCCGCTCCTCTCCTCTCTGCAACTCACTGGCTTTCCCCCTTGCAGCTGCGCTGCGTTGCGCCTCAAGAGAGGAGAGGAGAGCGGAGAAGGCTTGGGCACCTCTTTGACGTGTCTCACCACATACACACGTACATATACATGTAAGTATCTCACGGACGAGTCGCCGACCACACCCACAAAGAACCCCTGCACAAAGATCGCAAGGGCGGGGACCTGTTTCACACCTTTTTACCCAAATAAATAAATAAATAAAACGGGCAAACTCTGAGACGAGATGGGATTTAGGGACATGTGTCCCCGCCCTGCACGATCTTGGTGTGAGGGATCTTCAATCCGTGTCCCCTCACCCCTCGTCACAACCCGACACGGAAGAGCGGCAAGAGTTGGGGCTGCGGCTACGGCTGCGGCTATGAGAGGGGCCGGGGTCGCGGGAGAGCCGCTGCGCCGCGTGGACCTTTTTACCCATCTTCTATTAGAGGTGTCCGTTTTTATTTATTTATTTAATGCGTAAGTATGGGCTATGGCTAGGATAGGCTATGCAGCTGCGCAGTCGTACCATAAGGCATATCACACTGGGCAAATCGGCCGATTTCCCTCCCGCTAAATCATCACGGCCCCGTATAACACCCGCTCCGCGCGCGGTCAAAGGCTTCCCAGGGCCGGTCCATGACATGAACCGATAGACACAAGCCAAAAAAAACGCACCTCTAAGCTTCTCGGGCACCCCGAGGCCCATACGGCGCCCCGGCGGGCCCCGGCGGGGGTCCGGCGCGGCGCTCCAAATCCGCACTTCGCGAGAGCTTCTACGGGCGTTCACGCGGCCTCTCCGCCTCGTGAGGCACACCCCACACCCACCACGAGTCCTGGGGCCGTGGGCGGACCTTTGGCCGCGGCGTCCGGAAGTTTGGTCGTCGAACATCGGCCCCCAACTAGGCCGTCGAGCGAACGTGTCCGGAGAGGCTCTCGGATGGGTCCGGCAGCGGTCCCATGGACCCAGAAGCTCGCCCCGGCGGAGCACTCACGGCTCGGCCCCCGCCCCTGGTCACCCAGACGTGCCCTTGGACAGGCGTAGGGGCTCGGATGACGACGTTGGCGCCCGCGACGACGCCCTTCCCGACGTCGCATCTGGCCGAGACTACTCGCACCACGGGCGCGGCGGCGCGGATGATCACATGGTTTGGGACTCTGAGCGATGGCAGAGGCCTTTTATTGCAAACGAGGACGCCCCGCGAGGCCCCGTCGGCCGGGAGTGGTGAGTAGGACCATAAACAAGCACTATATCCCGTACCGCGACCAGCCCACACACAGCCCAAACCGCTGCCAAACCGGCCCTGGTCACGCCGGCCGGGAGGCTGCCGGGGCGCCCAAACAGTCCCTCACGAACGCCACACGGGCCACCACGGCCCGTCCGGCGGCCCGAGTGCCGCCCCACACCCGCCCGACGCCCTCGGCCAGCCAGCGCCCACTTTGAGAGGCTTCACCGCCGCCAGCGCGCCGAGCGCGCCGCCCTCTCCTCGCGCCACACGGGCCCCTGGCCGCACGCCCGAGAGGCGGCCCATAATTTGAGTCGAGACGCGCCGCCGGCCAGCCAGCAGCTCGCCCGCCACCCGCAGAGTGCCGCCGCCGCCCCCAGCCCGCACTGGAGAGGCTCTCCCGGCCGCTAGCCGCTGTCGCGTCGCCCGGCGGCTGCGCTGGCAGCGTGGCGGTGAGGGCGGTGGGGGAGATGGCGGCGGCGGGCTGGGCAATGGCGGTGAGGGAAGTGGCGGCGACGGGGGCGGGGGTGACGGTGGCGGCGGGCTCGGTGGCGGCGGCGAGGGCGGCGGCGGCGAGGGCGGCGGCGGTGAGGGCGGAGGGGGAGAGGGCGGGGGAGGGCTCGGCGGTGGCGGAGACGGGGGTGGTGGCGAGGGCGGCGGAGGCGAGGGCGGGGGCGGGCTCGGAGGCGGTGGTGACGGGGGTGGCGGCGAGGGCGGCGGTGGCGAGGGAGGCGGCGGCGATGGCGGGGGCGGGCTGGGGGC